TGCATTTTCCTTCTTGGGGAGGCAGGAGTTCCCAAGCTTTGTTTCATTTCTGTATTTGTAAGTTATGTGTTGTGAGTAGGTTTTCTGCTGCTGATCCCTTAGCATGCTTAAGATCTGCTCGCTGCTTTCTTCCCACTGAAGGAAAGCCAGCTGGAGAGGTGACTGCTCTCAGCTTGCCTCAACTGGTAATTATTAGAGTGGGAAGAACCTGTCAGGTAAGGTGTTTTAAGTTCACCTAACCCACGCATCACTGAAGGAAAGGAGAAAGATGCATAAGCGGATGAGGTAGACAGAGGGCTCTGTCACCTTCAGGTGAGACATGGTGACAAGCAGCTGGCAACTGTGGCCTGTTGAGCCAGTGCTGGGGAGGAACCTTGCACGTGAGACCTACCTGCTATACCTTTCTTGTGTCTGAAGGCAGGGTGACTCCTCTTCATGAAGCGACCCATGATATTGTCTTGATTTGCATCCAGGCTAGCCCCTTTTGATCTTGCTGTTTCTGAATTCCTTCTCCCTGTCCAACACTGGAATTTATTTTCTTTCCCTCCCCCCGCCCCCCCGCCAATCACCCACCAACCACCAGGTTACAGTCAGTTGGTGTTAGTGATTTTCACTGATTTTCTCAATCTGCTTTTCTTTGTACAGGTGGGCTATTTTCATGCTTAGGTTCTATTTCTCCTTCACTCTCTGCTCTTTCATCTGCTTTCGTGTTATAGGGTCAGTTGTGTCAGCCCTCAGCACTGGATCACCACTTGCTTTCTGTTCATTAGTCAATCACTGCAGGAACCCAGTGAAGCATCCGGCAGTCACGCGCAGCGCTCTCTAGTACAGATGAATGCCTTCAACAGTGACTGGTAAGACGTGCATGCAGAGGGTTGAACTGTGAATCATCACATCATCATCTTCAGTTCACATCTTCTATCCCTTTCCCCATGCCCTGTCTTTGCATTTCTGTGCTGTCATCTGCAGGCTGCTAGCAAAGAGGGTTGAACTGTGAATCATCACATCATCATTTTCAGTTCACATCTTCTATCCCTTTCCCCATGTCCTGTCGTTGCATTTCTGTGCTGTCATCTGCAGGCTGCTAGAGGTCTTCATCAAGTCAAGTTCTCCTGTGCTTCTTGACCTGTTCTCTTGCTTCTTGATGCCTTTGGCAGTGTCACAAAAGTGCCTTTCTAATAGTTTCTTTGTTATGTCATTTGAACATTTTCTCCTCCCTAAGATATATTTTGTGGATTGTGGATTTTGTATGTTGGATTCCTTTATTTCTGCTACACTTTATCTCAGGATACCTTCATCCAAACCCAGAAATTCGCTGACCTGTTTTTGCAGGTGACTCGCAAGTCTGTATCTGCACATCACGCCTGTCACTTCCTGCCCCACGTGAAAGGGGACACTTGTTTCCCTGATGTATTGAAAACACATTCCTGCATCTTTTCTCCCCTTTTTCTCTGACTTGTAATTCAGGCACTATCATCAAGTTGGAATTTTCCCTGCTTGTGTATTTTAACTTGCTGATTATTTTTCTGTGGCTGCTCTGTAGTGCAGCGTTTCTTGTTTGTGCATGCAGTTCAAATGCTTGTTTGGGCTCCCAGCTTCTAGTGCCGTGGTTTGTCTTAGCTCTTCCACTCATCCAGGAGGTTGCTGCCTACATCCCTTATCCAGTACTCTGGCACTTTATGCTTGCTGGCAATTGCAACTGACAACGTTGCTGGAGGTTGCTGTTTGATATAGCGTGTTTTAAGAAAAAAAACTGGGGTCGCAACAGAGTAGTGGTGAATGGCAAGGGCAAATATGCTTGTTCAAGAGTTGGGGTTTATTAGTTTCCCAAAGAATCTGCTCAATTAGGGAATATTTGGGCTGGTGTTATCCCCATCTTTTTTTTTATTAACTTTGTGAGAGATGAATTTTAACTAGGCGATTACCAGAGGCTTCCAGAAGGCCTCTGATGCATATGCATACACAAAAATACATACGTTGTGTGTGAGTGTCTGCGTGTAGATGCATATATTGCTCTTGCATAATGTGTGTCATTCCTTTGATACTGAAGTGTTGATATTTGATACGTGTTCATATTAACCCCCAGTCTGCTAGCCCACAGGCAAGGGTGTTACAAAATCACTTGACTGCCAAATGGGATTTAAACTGTTGGTTTACATAAGAGGTACAATAACTGAAACGAACAACTATTGATGTCCATGCTATCGGCTTATCTCTTAGCCATCACCAGCTGTAGCACTTAAAACATTTGAAAGATGCTAATTGCCCACAGTATTTGTTATTCCCATACTGTCAGATTTTTTTTCACTATAAAAACTCTGCATAAACTGAGTGTGTTACAGTTGTTAATGGGTATAACATGACTGACTTCTTAGAATTAGACTTCGCTTCTGTAAGTGTGTCTAAAAAGATGTAATTATGTGAAACTGAAAATCTGAAAACATCAGTGTAATAAATATCTCTTGGCTTGCCCTACAACATTGTGGGTTACTGCAACATCTCCCTCTTACATCGCTTTCACTGACAGTACAAAAAAACCATTCTCGGATACACCGTGGATTGCGAGTGCTCCATACTGATTGAAATTTTGGATGTTGTTTGTCAGAGATCAGCAGAAATCCCTGTAGTTTGAGAGAGTAGCTTGAGAGTAGCTTAAATACCACGCTTTTCCCGAGTGGTTAATTATCTCAGACTGAGCTGTTAAAATAATCTTTTTATTAAAAAAAAAGTACTGGGTACTGACCGGTACTGTAAGAGATGGTTTTAAAGAAAATTATTTAATGATAATATCTTGCATGAGTCATTAATCATGAGTCGTGATCAGCAGGCAGTGATGTCCAATTTGTTTTCTAATCCCGCACTTGCTGATGCTCTTTATTACCATAGTGATAATATTAAAGAGCTGTTAATGCATATAACCACGCAGCTGAAAATGACAGGCTCTTTTTTTTGGTGGAATAAAATTTCCATATCTTAAGTCTGTTTTGCCCTGCACGTTTTTTGACATGAGAAATCTAGGCAGTGTAAAAGTGATCAAACAAGTATAATCTGGCAGGGAGTTAGGTTAACAGAACAGACTTTTTTTTTTTTTTTTTTTTTTCCCCTCCCCTTTGCTTTCAAGCCAATCATTGTGGCTTCCTGGAGAATTAAGTCTAGTCTGTCTTCTTATGAGGATTGAGGAGGCTTTGTACTCATTAAAAATCAGGAGCTAATTGTTCAAGCTATGCTTTGCAATGAGAGCCTGCACTATCCATGTTTTTAATGTTTGTTCTCTCCTGAGCAAAAACTACTAGCTGGATGGAAAGTTTTGTTGCATGAATGTATGTTGGAGAATGACTGCTGAGGTTTTAGAGAAAATGGCTGTTTCTCTTTGGAGAGCCTGAATATAAAAAGAATCATTTAGCTGAGAAATGAGCTTTGGAAACCTGTTTTCACTCATAAATGAAATTTTACCAAGAGAAGCTGTTTTAAAAGCTCTGGGAGGTGATGCCTGAAATGTTGCAGACAATATTAGAATGTGCATAGGTGGAGAGTGTTGGGGTGCAGCAGCTGTGGGGTGATATTATTTATGAAGTAATGAATCTAGTATTCCATCAGATTTTTAACTTGATTAAATTTTAATGAGTTTTGCTAGTTTACACTTGAGTGTAGAAAAGTTGATCATGACAGATTAAAACCTTGAATTTAGTAAGGAACTCAGAAGATCGTTCAAATGTATCACCAGATGTTTAAAAAATGATCCCTTTATCTATTCCAGTGTATATGACCTTACAGTGCATAGATTCGTATAGGCCTTACTAGTTTCTTTGTGTTGAATTTGTGAGGTAGTGCTGATCTGGTGGATGCGATGTGGCAGCAGAGGTAAGAATCTACTGGCATAGGCGGCTCTCTTTGAAATTGTCTGGTGCGATGCATATTCTTCTACATCCATAATGTGGCTGCTGTGCAAACTCCTCCTCTGTTTCGATGAGGATTATACCTGCCCCAACAGAAGCATTTTCCACTTTAGCGTGGGATGGTGCAGCTAGAGACAAGATGAGTGTACGCCTGACAAAATTGTCCACTTCTTTCATCAAAAACTCGTTGTGTGTGATTTTTTTAATGTCTGTTTGCTTGTTCATGTGTATATAATAAATGTTTTTAAAATTTCACACTGTAAAATGCCCTGAACACAGCATTAAATATAGCTGTCGCCAAATTCTGTGTCAGTGAATATGTTTGTGTTCACCTTAGAAAAACTTCCCAGGAGCTTCTTGTGAGTTTTGGAAGACTTGTTTCTCAAAAAATGAGCATCTACCAGGTCTTCTGAACAGCAGTATCCATTAAAAAGGGGGTTGGGGCAAAGCTAGCACTGGTCTAGCAAACTGCAAGATTTAAATGTAGCAAACCTTTTCCTGTGGCGGTTCTTTTATTTCCCACTCCAAGGGGCTTCTAAGATTACTTCTTTTTCAGATCAGCAGTCTCAGGTTCAGGCTTTACCCTGTATCTTTCAAATCACGTGTCAGCCACTTTCTCCAGTAGACCTTTTTCCAATGTAAATAAAATAAAGCATATCCACAGCTCAAGAATAATACTTGATAATGACTTCTTGTTATTTCCTGGTATACACGCATACATTGCAGAGTGGAAATAGTGGAGGAATAAGCCATGAGTGTAGTGGTACATATAAGTAGACTAACAGTATTACGTAGCTGTGTAAAAGTCAAGTGCGATGTTCTCTCTATAATACTCATGTACACTTTTCCTCCTTTGAGGTACTGCACAGGTTCTGGTGCTCTCTGTCCAAGTGAGATCAATTCAAAGTGAAACAAGGGCTACTGGAATGACTGGAAAAAGCATATTGCTACCAGAGGCTAGGAAGTCTAACTAGTGTTAAGATGGAGTGTGATAAATGTGTTAATGGAATTAGATGACAGGGAATGGACCTCAATATAGGAATGGTCTTTGGTTCTTAATTTTTGTGTTCTTCAAGTATTTCTCTCAGAAAGGTCTTGAAGTGTAATAGTTGTTTACAGAAAAGCAGGAGATCCTGAAAACATCCAGATCCTGAAAGGTATGGATTCTGATAGGATTTCTCCTTCAACACAGGTCTGGGCTTTTTTTGGTTGGTGTTTTTGGTGGAGGGGGAAGGGTTTAGAAGATCAGTACAGATTAAGTTGGTCTTATGAAATATGTAAGCATCTTACTACAGTTCTTGAACGTCTTTGATATTCTGCACCCGTATACTTTTGGGTAATTTTTAGAAGAAAATATTTTAAAATATGCTAATTTCTGACTTAACTACTAAAATCACTTCATAAAACTCCTTCTATTAACTTTGTGGGAGTAGATCCAAACTAAGAATTTTACAAATACTGTCTGCAGTGATTTCTGTAGACTTCTGTGATTGCATCACCTTTATATTGGTTTGTGCTGTCCTGCTTCCCTCTGTCAGAGGACTGAGGTGGATCTCAAGTGAAATTTACTGATTTCCCGCCCCCCCCCCATTTCTTTACAGAAATGGCAGCTTCTCTGTGGAAGAACTTTCTTCAGACTGCAAAGGAAAGGATACTACAACAGAGAAGAGCATCACTGTATGTTGGTGCTCATGGTTATGAGGAAGAACTGATAAAGAATAAACTTCGACAGTTTGCTGGTGGATCCATCAACCTCTCCAAAGAAGACAATGGCATTGGAATACTTACTTTGAACAACCCGAAGCTAATGAATGCCTTTACAGGTATTAATTAGTTGATGGCGTTGCTGGTTTGTTTTTTTTCTCCTTCAGTTACACCTTTCAGCATTTTACGTAAACAAAATGAAAACCTGTGCCTTACTGCTCCTTAGTTAAAAGAAAAATGTTTAAGTTTTATTTGGATGTGCATCAAATGCTCACTGTTCTGCATAGTAGCTTTGCCATAAATGTCATGAGAATATAAGAAATTCTAAATGACACAAGGACTGTCTGGCAGAATGTGCCTCTCCACCCCCCCCACCCCCTCCCCCTGTTGTTTTTTTTTTTCCAGTCAGCACAGTTCTGCTACTGTGCTCTTTCTTGTATCTCCTTTTATTTTGTCTCTACTGTTCTGGAAGTGTATAGGGTATTTTTATGGGGGTGGAAGGACAGCATCTTTGTTTTGTAGGTAGTGTAGAAACGGTGAGTTTACTTCTTTGTTCTTTACCTAAAGCCTTCTCTGTAAGTTAAGATTCTGTAATTTGTTCTTTTTCTCACACACACTGGCTTCCATTTCTTCTTTGTTTGCCTTGTATCTTAAATACCAGTGCCTGGTTAATGAAAGCTCAAATGAGCTGTGTATTCTCAGCTGTTGCAGATCAGGAATCTTCTTAACATGGTTTTACGCTGGACAATACTTAGCTATCAAAACCAAGTGCCCTGTTTGCTTAATCTTGTATTATGAGAGGCTTTTGATCTCCAGGATAGGTATATTTGCTGTCTCTCCTTAACCAAGCAGAATATTCCAGTTTATGCCATTCTTTTCGGGTATAAGTGGCACAGGTTCAGAGTCTGCATCTGCCCGAGCTTGAGCTGTGCATAAGACTTTACTGTAAGAATGCCTTTTTCTTCTCATATTTTGAAATGGATATGTTTGTGCCATCTTGTTAATTTCTTTTTTGCTGTTCTATTTTCCTGCCCAGTTCTGCCTGTTCCTTTGCTGTCAGCAAATTTGTTTGCAACCCACTAGCAAAGCATAGAGCTGTTTACATGGAGAATGTCAATCTACTCCTTCCACTAATGATTGCTAGCTGAAAGGAAGAGAACCTAACAGAACAACAGAATTAGTGGTCATGCACCTAGATGTGTCTGCAGTTTCTCTTCTGTTTCCATTTAAAAGCTCATGTATAAAATCATTACCTAACTTGAGAAGTTGTGGCTAAATGATGTTAGCATGGAGATTGTCCTTCTGAATGTCTCCCTGCCAGCATACGTGTTATTATACAATCATAATTACATTGATGTTTCCTCTTTTTCTACAGATTGGGTTTTTTTATTATTTTTGACTCAAAATAGAGCCGTGCAAGGTACAGCTTGTAGACTGTGTGCTCTTAGCTTATTTGTTGTGGAAGTTGAAAGGGGCATGAGAAATGAGATGCAATAGCAAAAGGAGAAAGGACAGATAAAGCGTAGTCTGCTATGGAGATCAGATGTAATACACCTCAAATTGCTTAAACTAAACTTTCATAAAACTTACAACTGTGTTCTCTTTTTTAGGTGCTTGGCAGAAGGGGCTCAGAACTGATTTGTTGAAGTGCTTAGCAGTTGCAGCTGCTATTTAGGCCACTGGTAGCTGTGCTGTGACTATATGAAGTGATATATAATGTTAATGTACTGAAATCATATCACATATCTCAAGTTGAGCACCCAAAATTAGCAGATACTTTCTCTCTGGCTCAGTTAGTGGTCTGTAAAATAATCTCTTCTCTCCTTATAGGACTGCTGTGAAAATAATTTATTAGTGTATGTGAATTAGATGCTTTAGTAGCAAAGAGGAGCTACAAAAACCCATGAGGAAATGAATAGTTCTGGCTTTGTTGCAGACCCTGATTAGCATATAGCAAATGAGCCATGGGATCAGGCAGTTGTGTTTTATGGTAGTGTGTAGAGCCCTGTAGAGAGCAGTACTCCATTTTGCTAGGTAATAGCCACAAAAATTTGTTCTCGAAAATCTTGCTATGGCAGTTCTAGAGATTACTGCTGCTTTCTACTGTGCACCTCTGCCAGAGACTTTTGTTGTTACAGGAGGGAGAGTACAAGCAAAATCATGCTGGCACCTTGGCCACTGCAGTGGATGGTATGCATATTAATTTATACTGCTCTTCATTTTATTTTAACATTACTGTCTGTAAACTGTAGTTGCTGAGGAACTAGCAAGCACTTGATCCTTTTCCTTTTGTTGTGTATCAAATAATGCTCTTCAGGAGAAGTGTGAAAAGGGATGGGATGCGCAACCCTTAAACTGCTCCAGCAGGACCTGGTTGACTTCATCAGCCAGAGCCTGGAGGTACATCTCCCCACCCTCCCGAAATAAATTCTGTTGATTCTGTGTCTCGGAGCTTCTGGTTAGTGGCAGATGTGAATTTATATATACATATACACTTCCTTTAGAAAGCTGCAAAACATCATTAAACTGTTAAGAGAAATCCTATTTGCCAGGCATTTACTTTACACAGCAGCTTTTTATCTCAAAGGAATTATGCTTATTCTAAGCTTGATCAACTCATGGAACCGAAAGCAGAACAAAGTTGTTGGCAAATTGCTAATGGGCTATGTGGAGGTTGTTATGCCTTTTTTCTCTTCTTAATTGGAATCTGATAGCCACCTGTTTCAAATGGTCTCTTTGGAAACAAATGCTAATAATGTCAGTTTAAGCCTGGTGGAACCAATTTCAGCAGCCCCACCTTTTGCTGAACTAAAGTTGAACTTAATTTAAAAGAGAAGGGAGGCAGCCTGCAGGAATTAGATAATAATGGTGATAATTTTATTTTCTAGACTTGACTTTAAAGCATTTATTCTTAGATTATAATTGATATCATTTATATAAAGATGCAAACAAATTATTATTCCAAGTAGATTTATTTCTGTGAAGAGCACGAACTTACTGGTATCAAATACTGAAGGACCAAGATCGGCAGAATGAGGATTTGCTTTAGTATTTATTGCATCTTCATCATTACAGACGCATTATAAATATCATAGACTATAGCTGTTGGTAAAGTAATAGTTCACTGTTGTCAATAGTAGATGGAGTCCCTTCCCAGGAGGACAGAACAGGCTCTGGCCAGTGTTTCTTGTCCCCTGCTGTTGCATGTAACTGGCTCATATGGTTCCTTTTTGTAAACCCCATTTTTCAGTTAACTAGATTTTTGGCTTGTAACACTCTGTGGAAAGACTCATCAGTACCTCGCTGCTGTGACTATTGAAAGCACCACAAATAGTGGTTATGCTGTATCTTATCTTGACTCTGGCAAAGCTTGGATGCCAGCTGAAATACCTTTCTTGTAAGAAAACTTTGCAAATATGCAAAAAGTGAAATCCGTGGGGTTGATGCACGCCTATTTAAACAGCAGCATTTGCAGAAAGGTCATTGTTGAGTGTACTGTCAGGCTGGGAAAGCATTTCAGGTGAAGACCCACAAAAATCTCATCTAGGCCTAGTTCTGCTCAGTATTTCCTTTCATGGCTGGGATGAGGCAATAGAAGATGCACTACTGAAATTGTCAGATGACCCCAAATTAGGAGAGCTTGCAAGATTATTATTTGGAGCAAAGGAGTGGAATTCAAAGTGATCTTGATTAACTGCTACAAAGAGCTCAGGATCAACAAGGTGAAATTCAATGAAAGCAAGTGTAATGTGCAACACACAAAAAGCATGACCAAATTATAAATAGAGAAGGGACAGGAATGGTAAAAGTGCTGAGATTTGTTAGAGGATCATAGTCTGGACCTGACAGTGGGGGAAAAAACCAACCCAGTGTCACTCTGGTATATAATGTCTACTTAATTATTGCCCTCCTCAGGAGCGTTGTCAAAATGTGCTATAACAGTGGCTAAGACTAAGCCTAAGGTGGAAGTGCTTGACTGAGGATTCACTCTTGACCTGGTGCTGGGAAGCTTACTTCATAAGGAACTGCAAAGAAAACAAGCAGGAAGGAAAAAAATAATCTCCCACGTAAGGATGGCTGCTAATAGGCAGTTCCAGAACAGGATGAGTTTTGTGCGTGCACATGTAGGGTCAGAAGCCCAACACTCTTGGCAGAAAAGGAAAGAGTCCTTGAAGGTATTAATCTAAAGTACATTTCTATCTAAAGAAGTTAGGCCTGTCCATCTAAACTCTTGTCAAAGAAGGATAAAGCTGAGAGTATCATCAGCCTGTATGTAGGCTGCTGTCTGAAATTAGTTTCTGAAAATGTTTTATCTCAAGAATATAACTTAATGAGGTTCATGGGTATTCAGAGCAGAAGAGCTTTAAGGTAGTGCTGGGTAAGCTCAATTGGTGTGGAAGACGCTGCAGTCTAGGACGAGCTCTAAAACCAGGAGTTTGTAGAGTTCCACGTCAGGAAGGGTACTTATGTTAACAGAAGAGAATGCTACATTTAAGCTAGAAGTAGAAAGCTACTACTGTACAATCCATACATTTGGAGCCTAGCGTATACTTTGTAAAGAGAGCCTTTCTAGAAAGGTACCAGGGAGGGAATCAAAGGTGTTTGAGAATGAAAGATTTTTTTTTTTTTTTTTTTTTTTTTTTCTCTTGCCCTTTTAGAAGATAAAAAGCACTTCACTCCTATTTTCAAATATGTCTTTATTTTCTTTCGTACCTTGAACCCAGCTTGCACATGATTCTTTTCTGTGCTCTGCTAGCTCTTTGGGCAGGGTGAAATGACAGTAACATCAAAGTGACTAAATGGGCAGATCTAGATAGATACATGTATAAGTTCATGTGTTCTGAATGTATGCAAACAAGAACAAATCAGGTAGAGTTTATGCTTGCCTCCTTGCTTTTTTCTTTTTTTTTTTTTTTGTGTGAGTGCAACACAAATTGCAGAATATGCTTCAGAATTTCAGGAAGTGCATCTTTGAGAAAAAAACATACATGTCTGGGGGATTTAAGGTGATGCTTTCCCTTGTGTTTTTAAGCCCATCACTTATTAATGATAACCTTGTTTTGGTGGTGAAAAATGTAATGTAAAACACAGTGGTAATAATAACTTCCTGTTAACTTCTTACCTCTTGTGACAGGCACTATGATGCTAGAACTCCAGGAGAGGGTAACCGAACTGGAAAACTGGAAGGATGGCAAAGGCCTTATCATCTATGGAGCAGGAAACACCTTCTGCTCGGGATCTGATTTGAATGCTGTCAAAGCAATATCCAACTCCCAGGCAAGTAGTGATACAAATTAAGTTTGTAAAGAAAAAACAACTTTCTGATATTCTGAGATCCCTTTCAGACAGAGGTGGTGTACTATGCCTGTGCTTCAGTTTTACATGCAAGTCACAGAGTAGAGCTTTCAGTGGTTCAAAAAATGGTGGCAGACCCTTTAAGCCATGGCTTAAATGTTACTATAATTCATTCATAACCGAATTCCTACATTAATACCCTTTTTAGCCTATTCTTTTAAAAATGTCATTTCAGTTTCTCAGAGCAGTATATGGTGAATTTACCCATCAAATAACCTGTGCTTCAGTAGTTTGACCTTTAAAAGCAGATACAAGTAATCATTTCTGATATATTATAAAGTCAAAACCAAATTTAAGCAGCATGGCTGCTATTACAGAAAGGTTTCAATTTTCTCAAAACTGTGCTTTGGACCTGCATAAACTGCAAGGATGGATGCAATTCTTGTTCTGTAAAGCTTTGGTGTTGATCTTGTTGTCCGGTCAGGTGAGTCATATGTGTAACTACAGGGCTGGAAAGATCAAGGTTTGACTGCAGTTTTTCACTCATGCCAGCCTGTCTTGACCACTTTCATGTGTGCTGCCATTCTTTTTATGCGCTAATATGTGGTACTTGGCAATGTGTGAAATAGGACTTTGTCAGCTGCAGGGGAAGAGGGCCTTCCTGTGCTGCTCTTACATACTGGTTTGCAGTTGGGGCGACTGGCATCCTGGTGCTTATTTTGTGTCCATTTCAAGTTTCAGGATTTGCCCACACAAATTAATTTAAATTGAACATTCCAGGACAGAACACCAACTCAAAAACTGATTAATCTGATACGTGTTTTCAGTGATGATTTGTTTCTGTTGATGAAACTAAGCATCATAAACCCCATAATGTCTTAAATATTTCTGGCCTGATAAAATAAATAGGATGGTCCAGTTTTCAAAAGGTGCAGGAGGCTTTGTTTCCTTTGTGGAACACCCTGAGAGGTATGCTTTAGAGATCACAGAATCACAGAATCGCAAGGGTTGGAAGGGACCTCGGGAGATCATCTAGTCCAACCCCCCTGCTAAAACAGGCTCTCCTAGAGCGTGTTACACAGGACTTCATCCAGGCGGGCTTTGGATATCTCCAGAGAAGGAGACTCCACAACCTCCCTGGGCAGCTTGTGCCAGTGCTCTGTCACCCTTAAAGAAGTTTTTCCTCATATTCAACTGAAACCTCTTATGTTTCAGTCTGCACCCGTTGCCCCTTGTCCTGTCACTGGACACCACTGCAAACAGACTGCTTCCATCCTCTTGACTTCCGCCCTTAAGATATTTGTATGTGTTGATGAGGTCCCCTCTCAGTCTTCTCTTCTTCAGGCTGAACAAGCCCAACTCTCTCAGCCTTTCCTCGTAGTGGAGGTGCTCCAGTCCCTGTATCAGCCTAGTTGCCCTCCTCTGGACTCTTTCTAGGAGTTCCTCATCTTTCTTGAACTGGGGAGCCCAGAACTGGACCCTCTCGGCAGAGCTGCTTTCCAGCAGGTCAGTGCCCAGCCTGTACTGGTGCGTGGGGTTTGACCTCCCCAGGTGCAGCACTCGGCACTTGCCCTTGTTGAATTTCATCAGGTTCCTCTCTGCCCAACTCTCCAGTCTGTCCAGGTCCCGCTGAATGGCAGTGCAGCCTTCTGGCCACTCCTCCCAGTTTTGTGTCATCAGCAGATATAAATGTTATTTGGGAAGTTTTCATTTGGATGCTTTATAAGCATTGGTCATTTTAAAAATACAGATGTATCTGTGATCCGGGTGGTTTTTTGTATCTGAATTTTTCAGCTTATTTTGGCATTATAGCAACAGAAAAGGAGCTGAAACCAAGCACAGGACAGTTCTTTACTTATCTGCAGTCTAGGCTTTCCTTCAGTGTTCTGCATTCAGTAATTCTCAGTGATTCTGCTTTCATACTCTCTTGGACATTTAGTATTCTGTCTGTATTTTTGTACAAACTACTTGGAGCCATTGCAGTGGCAGAGAGGGCTCTTGTAAGGATTAGGGTCCATAATAGATGTCCTGGACAGAATGAAATGCATAGATATTAGTTGTAACTTTGAAAATTCACCGGAAAGAATCTAGATCTCATGCTAGTGCTGAAATACAAGTCCTAAGAATCAACAGAAATGATCCAAGAATAGTTAAACATTGCTTTCTGTTTCCTCGGGACAGTTCAAACTATTTATCCAGAACTGGAGTTTCTTTACAATACCCAACTCCTAAACCATCTGTTTGATGATATTTAATAGGCTATATTAAATAAAACTTTAATAGAATAAGGAATAGCATTTGCTGTTCTCTAGACTTGCAGAACTGTGCTCTCTAACTCACTGCAGATGAGAGAGTTTTGTCTGGTTTCAGGTTAAAAGAGCGTTAGGTTAAGTTTTCTGTCCCCAGGCATCCCTTAGAGAAGAAAAAGGGAGTAGCTTCATGATTGAACTGTTATGTTTTTCCTTTAATTTTTTTCAAGGCTACTTAAGCTCATAGCTCTTAATAATTACAGAAAACACTTATATTTTATTCAACCTGTTGGTTGAGGTGAGATTGTGGTTTTGATAATATACAATGTAGTTTGCCTTTCCCTGTCGTGCAGGAAAGACAGAATAATGGCCAAGAATGGTGAAGGATTTTCATGCCCCCTAGTGGCTCCTCCTCCTCTTCCTTTTCCTCCTCCTGTCCTCTTCCTCTTTGTCCTCCTTCTCCCATGTTCAGTTGTTCCTAACCCTCAAACAAACCCAGATCCCCTGCCTGTTCTTCTTTGGCGAGTGCTAACGTTACATGACCAAATCACAGAAGGCAAATAGTGGAATTAAAAAAAAAAAAACCCACCTTTTTTTTTTTTTTTTTTTTTTTTTTTTCTTGTCCTTGTAAGCCTGGTTCCCAAGGGCAATAACCTCATTCTGGAGTGAGACTTGAGAAGCTGGACAGCTGAAAAGCAGGAGAAGCTCTTGAAGGGACAGCTGAGAGAAAAGAGGCACAAAGGAGAATTTACTTCCCTTGGTCCCTGTCTAGAAACCCTAGGACAGAGGTTCCTGAGCTGCGGAGGGAGGACTTCCAAGCAGTTAGAGGTGGTCTGGAAATACTGTTCTATCTGTAATGAAAGTGGACTCTAAGCTCTTGCAGCAAAAAGAGCCAGGGGTACAGTTTCCTACTTTACGAAGGTGACTTTCTTCTTGCCTGCCTCCCCTAGCCCCACTGCAAACTATTAATCCTTTTCTTCTGTATGTTGTGTAGACTGTATTTTACCTCACTTTCTGCTTGTTAGTTTTCATGTTACTCCAAGGACAGTGTTAAGAGTTGAAAATGTGATTACTCCACTGGACTCCAGTGAACAACTCTGACCGGTAGCCTTATTTTTCTTATCATGAAGGTTTGAAGGATGTGTTGGCCAGGGCTCAAGTTACTGTGATTTTTTTCAGGGTGTTTCCTGTGCAGGCATTTTTTCAATGTGATACCCAGTAATCTCTCTACCACCTGAGAATATGAAGACCCTTCTTTTTTTGTCTGCTCAGTCATAACTGCATTTATCAAGCTGGTCTGTTTTGGCATTAATCTTTAATTACCATTTTGGTATGAATTCAGACGGACAATTTGAACCCAAGGACTCTGCCATGATGAAGTGACAAATTACTTTCTCTGAAGAGCTTTTTTGCAGATTCATCCTGATGGTTGTAGTATGGGAATTGTGCAAGTCCATGTCTGAGAACTGGTACCTTGTATGTGGGTTTTGACTTTTCTTCCTGATGAGAAGTGCTAAGACAGCTATCACAGAGGATTGATTGTTCTTTAATTTGGAATGGAAGTGTTGCTACTGGTCTTAATGGGTGTAGGAGGTTGCTACAGTGATAAATAAAACCCTCTCTGTAAATCAACGTGTGCTGAAATTTTCAAGCAGGCCTTTAATACCATGCAACTGAATGCACTGGTTCCAGTGTAGCAATTGTCGTGGAAGCTTATGTCTGCCAGGAATCTGTCCCTAAAGACCGTAATGCTGGTTGCATTGGGCAGAATAGGTCTTGGGAACGCATTAATAAATGGACAATAAATCAAGTCAAATTGACCTACTATTATTCCAAGGTCCTATTCCAAGATGTACTGAAGATTTACTATGTATCTTTTCTTTCCCTGAGGTATGAGTCAGAAGCTTTTAATTAAGGAAGATTCTTTAACTTGCCAACCCATGTAAAGCTGTGTTTTAGAAATGAGTAAATGCCAATAAAGATACGTATGTTGTTATGTTTCTTCATACCATTTGTTTTTTGGGGTTTTTTGGTTGTGGGGTTTTGGGGTTTTTTTTTTTGAAAGACATGCTGAAATTTTTACCTACTGTTCTTTTTATTTCTACGGTGTCCATACAATTCTTTTTTAACCTGGATTAAATGACAGAAGTGTTTATGTCATGGTGTACATGAACATGGTCATACTGAGTTATTTAGCCCAGTCATTTGACAAGTTCCTGGTCGATACTGGATGCCTGAGGAAGAACACAAGGAAAGGGAAGGCAGATAGGTCATGATTTTGCTTCAAAATATTCTCTTAGTCCCCAGCAATTTGTGACTTTTGACGATTTTTCAGTCGTGAGTTTATCTAGTTGGTTTTGAATTCATGTAGTCTTTTAGAGGTTGCAATGCACCGCTGCAAAGTGTTCCACAGTTTAACTGCATGTTGTAGGAAGAAATACTTGTTTTGAACCTAGCAGGAACTGCTTTTATTTGGAACCCCTTAGTTCTTGTACTGGAAGAGAAGGGAACAATTGTTCTGCATTCACTATTGTTTGCAAGCTGATGTAGAACATAAAGGAGGAGAGAAATAAGAATTATCTTCTTTCTAGTTGTTTGGGGGTGGGGGGAGGGCTGAAATGCTTTTGGCCCAGACAGTAAAAAAATGTAGTTGGTAAATTGTATCTTGTCTAAAACTTTGTGGAGTTGGAACAGTAAAAAGTGTGCAGTGCTCTATGCTCCTATGCATACTTTTAAAAATCAGCTTTATGGGTGTTTAACTAGGAGCAAGAAGAGGAAATTAAGAGGAAAGGATGTAAAATTTCACGTCGTAGAAATTCAGTATTGCAATTACTTTTAACAGTGGTGTAACTGTAACTGAAATTCATATAAATTGATTGAGTTCTGAATTTTTCTTAACCTGCTTTATACTATGTTTTCTATTTGTGCATTGTGGGGTTGGGCTGGCATTCAGGCAAGACTAACCGAAGAGAAAAAAAGCCAGCTAGAGTAAATATAATGAATATTGCTGTCTACTCCATCTGTGTGTTTAATTGCTTCACATTAGGATCACGTAACATTTTTTAATTTCCTATTCTTTGTAGGATGGGATGAATATGTGCATGTTTATGCAAAACACTTTAACCAGACTTATGAGGTAATACATTTTATTTACCCTTCTTTGTGAAGTAATTATAAGGATTGGGATATGTTTTGGCTAACTCTTTAACAAGATGTTTAAAGTTAAATACATAGTTTTAAGTATGTAGCTTTGGATTCCAAACCTTGTACTCACATGTTAATGAGGTAGGTATTTATGGATTTAAATTAGGCCTTGACATTTTGCAACTATCAGACTTTGCAGAGACTGGAACAGAAAAAAACTCTATAGGCTTATATGTGGAGGGCCAGGAGATACGTAGAGTTAAGGAAATCTAGGCCTTTAAAGTTTCTGAAGCTGACTTCTGTAGCTCAGTGGGAATCGGTAGCTCTTAAAAAACAAGCAGGGCTAGCTTATGCAGCCTACGCAGGTAACATTTATTTAATATATTTATTTAATCTTCCCACTTCATAAGAGGAATATATTCAGTTCTACCATCTGGTACTTCTGAAAAACATTTTTTCCTTTCCTTTAGATTTAGCTTCCCTTAAGAAATCACATTTCTATTAAATCCATGTGTGGTAGAGTCTGTCTTTTTTTCTGCTCAAAGCTCTTTAAAGATAAATATTCTTTGTTTTCAAATAAGCTGTATGAGAAAGTGTTACGAGTTAATATTGTTCTGTAAAACTGCCCAGGAGACTGGAGACTTAGTAGTAGTACTGTAAGGAATCCTCAGGATCAGAATTAGAATCTATTTGTGTAAGTTGGCCTCCATATAATCAAAATTGATGGGACAAAGCAAAGAGGAGGAAGATGTATGAAGATTAAGCCCTCGCCTCAGGTGTCTTGTCTTAGTACGTTGAAGCTGTGGTTCGGGGGAGCACTGGGGGCATCTATTGTAGACAGGATCAATCTCCCTCAGCGGGAGCTGAGGCTGACCGTGATCCTGAAGGGGGTGCCTCAGATGGATCAGTGTGTGGATGTAGTGGACATGGACCCATATCTTCTGGTTCCCCATAGACCATAGGAAAAATGAGGTTACCCTCTCCCAGGGGGTTCACTTGTGCCTTGTACTGTATGAAATGTGCTGCAGCTGCTAAGTGTGCCATAAGAAATTGTTGATGCTTCCGTTAAAGTAGAAGTAAAACCAAACATGTGGTGATGATTGGGAAGCTGATTTCTGAATGTGGTTTCAAAACTGCTTAATGAGTTAAATGTCTCTTTGTAGTAAGAGACAAAACAGCTGTATCAGTATGCAAACTCTGGGAATAACCAGTTATCTTCATTTCTTATGGAATTGGGCTTATCCTAAATCAGTCACTGTTCATTAGTATTCATTTCAC